AGGAATGGAGAGAGGGAGAAACAGAGAGAGCAAAAAGAGAGAGAGAGAGAGTTAGGAAAAGAGAGAAAGAGAGAGCGAGGGAGAGGGAGCGAGGGAGAGGGAGAGTTAGAAAGAGAGAGAAAGCGAGAGAGAGTTAGAGCGAAAGAGAGAGAGAGAGAGAGAGAGAGGGGGGGGGGGAGAGAGCTTGGAGCAGTCGGTGAATGTTTATAGTGTTTGCAGGCAGCTGGCAGAGGTCGGACGGAGGCCTCCCACAGCTTCCTGTCCCGGCCGTGATGTCTGCTCTGCACCAGTCCAGATCTAGGACACTGCGCCGCGCGTGCGCGTTTGCTGAAGCGCCGCTCGGTCGCTGACCACCCAACACCCCGCCTCTGATGGGATGAAACGGAACGGCCGGCCTGGCGAAAACAAACGGAGCGAGCCTGGCATCAACTGGCCACCAGCGGGCCTGGCCTCAGCTGCCCACCAGCGGCAGAGGGGGCCTGGCCTCAGCTGCTGACCAGCCACAGAGAGAGCCAGGCCTCAGCTGCCCACCAGCCATAGAGCGGACCTGGCCTCAGCTACCCATCAGCGGCAGAGAGAGCCTGACCTCAGCTGCTCACCAGCCGCAGAGGGGGCCTGACCACAGCTGCCCACCGGTTACAGAGCGGACCTGGCCTCAGCTACCCATCAGCGGCAGAGAAAGCCTGACCTCAGCTGCTCACCAGCCGCAGAGGGGGGTCTGACCACAGCTGCCCACCGGTTACAGAGCGGGCCTAGCCTCAGCTGCCCACCAGCGGGTCCGGCCTCAGCTGCCCACCAGCGGCAGAGCGGGCCGGACCTCAGCTGCCCACCAGCGGGCCTGGCCTCAGCTGCCCACCAGCCACAGGGCGGGATTGGCCTCAGCTGCTGACCAGCGGGCCCGGCCTCAGCTGCCCACCAGCCGCAGGGCGGGGCCTGGCCTGCAACCGATCAGCCCAGCGGGTCGCCGGAGAGCGTCACATCTCACATCGCGATGAGTGATGAGCGCTCTAATGCGGTTAGCGCGAGTTTACGTGCCGATGCAGCAGCGCGTGATGCTCGCACCAGTCGTGCGGCTGTGACCCCAAAAATGGCGTGATATAAGCCATTTGTTGATGCTGGCCTCCGGAAGCTTTATTTGTACCGCGACCTGCTAACCACGACTGCATGATGACACGGATTCGCACTCACCGGTGTTTGTCGGACATATTTAGGCCCAAGGAGTGAATAAAATAGAAGTGATTCACTAAAACCAACGTAGTTCGAGTTGTGCACAGCGCATCGGCAGTGAGTGTTCGGACAGCTCGATAAGCTAACTCAGGTTGTTCGGGTCTTTAAACTCAACGCAATGTCACTTCTTATCTTTGAGTTATGTGTCACAATAGCCGTATACCTGCCTGTGTGCAGCTGCATTGTATACTTACCTTCCGTGGGTGTGTAACCGTATTGTACACTTAACTTGTGTGTGTGTGTGTGTGTGTGTGTGTGTGTGTGTGTGTGTGTGTGTGTGTGTGTGTGTGTGTGTGTGTGTGGTGTGTGTGTGTGTGTGTGTGTGTGTGTGTGTGTGTGTGTGTGTGTGTGTGTGTGTGTGTGTGTGTGTGTGTGTGTGTGTGTGTGTGTGGTGTGTGTGTGTGTGTGTGTGTGTGTGTGTGTGTGTGTGTGTGTGTGTGTGTGTGTGTGTGTGTGTGTGTGTGTGTGTGTGTGTGTGTGTGTGTGTGTGTGTGTGTGTGTGTGTGTGTGTGTGTGTGTGTGTGTGATTTTTTCCTTTATTAGTTTCTTATTTGGTTTCTCACTCGCATATTTTTCCGGACAAACCGCTTTTCTTTCTTCTCACAACCCTCTGCTTCATTTCAAAGCCTCATCCCTAACAACACGAAGAGTGCAGCACGATTTGCTCTTTCTGAGAGACATCTTCCAAGGTAAGCTGGACTCTCAAATCTTGTGGAGCTGTTTTTCCTCGCTCGTACCGCTTCGATCAAACCGCGCCCGAACTCTGTTCGATGTACCTCACGCTCGTGTGCGGACAGTACAGAGCGGTCTGTTTTGCAGACGGCCAAATGTTGGAAACACTTTCTTAGCGAGCAACACTACAGCGAATATTTTTCATAACAGTTTTGACATTTTAGAGTTCAGGGGATTAATTATTTTTAACTCTGTGGCATCTTCACTTTAATTCGAGATGTGATCTTTCAATATATGCTCATACTATTGTGAGCTGTGTAATTATTGTATTTTGATTCAACGACTTCATCTGTTAGTGGAGTACTGCTCTGTTGACGATAAAAAAACACAAAGAGGTACCTGCATGTGCGTGTGCGTATGCAATGCAGCCAGTACGAAATGTATGAAAGCAGCCAGTAAGTATCAATGCAAACCAATCTGGAAACTATGAGTTCAAGAATATGATGCTGAGTTCACGATTTTTCAGAAGGCATGGCGTATTGGGGCAGGAGCTACAGGAGGTTTTAGTGTCTTTATGGATGGAAATTTTACCTAATTCGTTTTGGTTTGGTTAATTGGGAGCCAAAGCATGTGCCCAGTCAACTTGATGACCAGCTCGCGTTTCTCATGAATCGATAGAGCATCAAATGCATCTCTGTGATACGAATGAGCTAATGATGAGCTAATCGAGATGCTTTCGTCACAGTGAAAACCTGGAAAGTCAGACTTTGGCATGAAGACTAACGCCATTTAACACCGGCAGCACCTCAGTCGCCCCCCCCCCCCCAAGTCTCTCAGTTCACGCGAGCGGAAAATTCATTCAGCCGTTTGACCGATCGGATAAACGTCCAAAGACTCGTGGTTTCGGCCACACTTGAAGTGAAATAGTGCCGCTTATAGGCTTGGCCAGCTGCCCACATTTGGAGTTTTCCCGAACTGAGTCGGCTGTTGTGTGCTTCTGATAATCGCCTTGAGTCCTCCGGGTGTTATACACGAGGCCAATCAGCCTCGCGCATGCGTGGCAATGACTTTGTGGTAGCCCCTAGAGGAGTCCTTTATGCATAACGATTTGAAAAAGGAAATATTCTCAAAGGACAGGACACCTAAGTGACGGAAGCATGCTTTAAACGCTTGTGTTTCCTACCTTACGAGCACTTTCATGAGCGATGCTTTGCCAGTAACAAGCAGCGCGCATCGAGTGAGGCGATATGGGCACGATCGCTAGCCCGAAAGAGACCATGTTAAAACGTCAGCGAATGGAGTCAGTCACCTCTGGGAAGACATCCACGGACAGGATGGAAAGGTACACTGGTATATTATCCTTGTATGCGTTAAGCAGGAGCAGGTGCATTGATCGCAAGGATACGTGCACAAATTCATAAGCAAGATACCGTCGATCGAAAATTAACTGGGCATTGATCGCAAGGGTACGTGCAGAATTCATAGGCAAGATACCGTCGATCGAAAATTACCTGGGCATTGATCGCAAGGGTACGTGCAGCATTCATAGGCAAGATACCGTCGATCGAAAATTAACTGGGCATTGATCGCATGGGTACGTGCAGCATTCATAGGCAAGATACCGTCGATCGACAATTAACTGGGCATTGGTCTGGCCAGAGTGACAACCTTAGCAGTCGCAAACCGTAAACTTGCAATGATCTACAAGTTAGATAATGGTAACCGCATTACTACTAAGCACGCAAATATTTTGTGTAGATACTGGCCCAATAAACATGCGCGCACGCTTGCTTAGTTTTTATTGTTCTATCTCTCACGGTGTGTTTAGGATCATCTTCGGAAGCGGTAACATTGGCCGCTATCTGGGTGATTCTTGGCACAAGTACGGGTTGGAGAGTTTTGAGACATATTAGTCATCATCATCATCATATACTTCCTTGATCTGTGCCATAAGGGTACATAAAAAATATTAGCGGTATCTTCTAGCAGTCAAGTATCTTAACACATCTTAGTGTACGTATCTTAGCGAGTTGCTGCCGATACATTCGCCCACGCCGCGCAGTTGGTTTCAAGCCTTCGTCTGCCCTCGCCTCTCAGATCTGACATCAGTCCCACAAAGCTCCTTAAGACGGCGGATCCGCGGCTTGCGCACTACAGCGCGGCAGATTGCCCACATCGATCCACATTGTGCTAGTGCGATTGTCCGTTTTGTCTTCCTTCACATTAACCTGGTCTCATGTTGCGCTCACTTCTGGTCGTCGGGATGCGCCTGAATGTGACTCGTTTTCTTTCGCTTTTTCGCCATTTCAGAATTATACGTGTCTCATAAGAATTAAACGGTGAGGTGAAACAGTGGCAATACCGTAACGCTGCTGAAATGCGGCACCTGCCCAGCATTTTGAATGCATTAACGCCTTGAATGTGTTAAATAATAACTTTGAAAGAGGTGCGCTGAATACTGTTGCTGAAGATATCACGGTGGTACGACTAGTGGCTGTAAAGCTTCTGCCAAAATCGGTACTGGCAAGGCCAAGTCGGGCACGCACGCAAGCGCACACACACACACACACACACACACACACACACACACGCACACGCACACGCACACGCACAAACACGCACACGCACGCACACGCACGCACACACACCACACCCGCACACGCACACGCACACGCACACGCACGCACGCACGCACGCACGCACGCACACACACACACACACACACACACACACACACACACACACACACACACACACACACACACGCACACTTCCCGGTTAGTTTATCTTACGTGTTGTTCGGTTTTCGGCCTCTACGTAACCACAACGTCTGCAGCTGCCCGGGGAGCTGTCTCAAGGAATAGGCCTGAATGACCACCGTCACTGGGTCTACAGGACCTTCCGCGGCAGAGCGAAGTGTTGCCACTGTTTCCAACAAAGCGGCCTTCTTAACAAAACTACAGCAGTGTCATCTCTATGTTGTCTGGACCACTGGTGCCTTTTTGCTCAAGGCAAACTCCTGCCAGCGTACCAGTCTTACCCGCGTTTGTACGCGGACGCGGTGCGGAGCCCAGGCGAGCGAGCAGCATCCATGGCCTCACCTGACTACTGTCGCGATGCGGCTGAGGTTAGGCCGGCAGTATTCCTCGCGCGGACCCAGGCGCAGAAAGCTCCCTCAGTGCTCGCGCGTTCTCATACGACGCCACGCGTCTGCAGTCTGCGCACCGACAACCCGCCGCAGCCTCACAAACCCGCCGCCAGGGGCGCGGAGATCGGCAGCTTCAGACGTCTGCAAATGACTTCTGATTTGAAACACCGCCACCAGGGACGCGTCGCTTCAAGGGGACGTTCGTATGCGCTAGATTGGGGAAACCACGACCAGACGCGCCACGTTAGTATTAAACTTCCTCACCCACCCTGGAGCCAGCCTGGAGGGCTTCAGGGAAGAGATTTCTTCGCCCGCTAGGCCAGCTACTCGTGCGTGTATCGGGGGAGGGGGAGGGGGAGAAGGGGGCGGGCTATGCCCGGCTGCTCGTCACCATTCGTCTCTCTTCAGCCGAACTAGGCCTCAGCCCATGCGCTTACCAACTTCCTGCTTTAGGTCTTGAAACCGAAGCACTGTTCAAGATTTTCAAGAACAGAATTTTCGAGAACACGTGCTGTTTTGCTCCGTTACAGGTATGGGGCCTTAATGAGCAATGCCATTGTTGGAGAATCACGGCTGTTTTTTGGCTGGAATACTACCACAGGGGGGCAAAAGATGATCATAACACAAAAGCTATCCTCTTTGAGCCTAGTGGCGTTTCGTGCCACTCTCATAATGATTGATCTCTTCTGATGATGATCTCATAATGACGAAAAAGTCATGGTTGCTCTCACTACAAGATACAAATCCTAACAGCTGAGTGGATAAGCGATGCAATAAATTGCACATACCTAGCGCCATAAGACCCGCAATGGTTTGTGAAGCTTAAGTGAAAAGCTCTGGAATGTGTGCATGACCTAAGCCCTTCATGACTAGCCCCGTCCCCGTCCCCACAACCAAAATGCGTGCTGCCTTCCATGACTGCCATGAAAGAGCTCCATAGGCACCCTAAGGTGGCCTCTAAAGGGGCGCCTTCACGTGCCGATCAGAAGAGACGCGTGCCTCCAGTGTCTGCTCCCTGGAACCAACCCTGCGTGACTTCTATACCGCTTGAATAAAAAACTTATTACACAAAGCGTTGCTTATCAAAACAATTGGTTGCGTTTAATCAAAGCAAAATGGGCTAAATCCAGTGAGAAAAATGGGGGGGGGGAGTTGTCGGGCCTCCGGTTCGAAACCCCACCAATAATTTACCAAAATTGACACCCCTGATTCCCTTTGGGAAAGTGCGAAAACACAGACACGAAGAATACAAACATGCAGGCAAATGCTGACAAGATCTTACACCACGCAAGCATGAAACATATGGGTCATCATTATATCATGACACCAGAATAAAAAAGCCCACAACAACCTGTCATTGGCTGCTGACATCAGAACAACTTTTCTCCGTCGGATCACGAAATGACACGGTCAGGTCCTTTTCAAGAGTGCCCACGTGCCGTCGTGTGAAATGTTTCCCGGACGCGCGGAATCTTTTCCCTGTATTTGATCGCGGTGAGACAGAAATGGCGCAACAGGCTCATTAATAAACAAATTAATTAGCGTGCACAGGACCGACAACTGAAGAAAAGTATGTTATGTGCTACAAGCAGCATTATAGAACCATCCACTGTTCGTCACACACGAAGTGCGCGCGAACGCAAATGCTAGTGCCGCACATGCGCAGTAATTCCTTTTTTTGTATATGAATATGAAAGAGAAAGCAGTCACGTTGTGGAATGCAAATACACCCTAATTCACTACATCTTTAATTCGGTGTGGTTACTTCATTCCATTTTGCTTTCAGCAGTACGCTGCTCACGACACTGGCAAACATCAGCGTTTCAGTGACCACATTCGTATCACTTTTTCATTCGGCTTGCCGATGACCATGCCCAAAGCAGATAAAATTAGAGATGATTTACGGTAATGATATTCAGAATGCCAACATTTACGTGGCGAGATTTTGTGTGTCGACATTCCGTGGGGCAGTATTGCGTCCATCGATACTAGGCGTGTCGACAGGTTATTCGAATGCCACACCCGACCACCTTGAGGTTTATCCGACCGTTACATGCCAGACTGTGGCACTCTTCCACCGGTCAGGTGAGCAGTCACCTGAGAGACCGTAGAAGGAGTGCTCACTGAAGACATCTTAGTACATTGGGGGGGGGGGGGGGGCATCTACCACCCACAACTGCAAGGAAATAGCGAGCTAACGAGGCCTGTCGATTCTGGGGGCTCAGTCTCGTAATACATGCTCGAGATGTTATCCGAATCTCGACATTAGCGCCATCTGCAGATCGCACACTAAACTGGTTATCGCCGGCGCCAGCAGCGCCATCTGCGGTCTCCTCGCTTCTGCTGCACGTTCACCGCCGACCACCGTCTCCTTGGGATAATTCAACTGCAGACGTGGCACTGGTTGTCCCCGCCTTGGAGTTCTCTGCAGTCTGTGCGAAATGCACTTACACACGCAACCAAAGTTTGCCAAGAGTTTTTTTTCAAAAGTGAGCAACAATAAGACGTATATCAGTGATGATGAACTTTATTATTCGAAATCTGTGACGATGAGCACGCAACAAAAGAGAGCACCACGCCGAGAGCACGCGCCCGTCTGTTGACTGGCGCGACTCCACGGCTGCAGAGGCCCGCAACAATACGCGGCATGGAAGCGCACACACGCCGCGTGTTGTCGCAGTGGTTGCGCCGACGCTGGCCGCGAGACGCATCCGTAGTTAGCTACCGGTTGCCTAGCACTGCATCGCACAACGCCTCCCTGCTTTCCTGTCCTACTTTCCCTACTTTCCCTCCCTTCCCCTCCCTACTTTCCCGTCCCAACGTCCGACGTGATCCCTGTCCTGTCGCGGTGCGAGTCCACCATACCAGTCATGGCGCACTGTACGGGGTGGCAGGCCTCACACCACAGACCTCAGACGACACGCCCCCAGGCCCCAGACACCCCAGTCCGGACGTGGTAGTGTGGTCTATTCCTCTCCACCGACTGCTCGAGCGGCATCAGATCGTGTCCTCCAGCTCCCCCAGCGGCTCCGTTCGGCATCCCCGGCCGCCAGCCGCCCGCCATCACACCATGAACTCTTTGGCGCGGTGGGCCGGGATGGCGCGCGGACCCAGCCGGCTGAACACGAAGCCGGCACGTCCGGCGCGCGCTGCCGTCGGGTACGGCGCGTGCCGCTGTCGGAAGTAGTCGGAGGGCGCGCTGCACACCAGCCGCATGCAGTCCAGTCTCCGAGGAATGTCCTCGTCCGGTCCTGCGGCACGTCAGCATGCCGGTCGTAGGTTAACGCACAGTCAGCCTCGGGCGCCGCACCCGCCCGGCTGCCGGGCCAGAGACGGCCGGCCTGGGGCGCCGCACCCGCCCGGCCGCCGGGCCAGAAACGGGCAGCCTGGGGCGCCGCACCCGCCCGGCCGCCGGGCCAGAGACGGCCGGCCTGGGGCGCCGCACCCGCCCGGTCGCCGGGCCAGAGACGGCCGGCACACACGAGCGACGGCAGACAGACGCCAGCATGCAGCCAGGACAGTCAGGGGCCACCACAGGTCACGCATAGAATGAGGCCCAAGGGCCTGAGGCTGGTCCGGATCAGCGCACTCGGAGAAGCGAGCCGTCGCCTGGCGATAATGGCTGGGGATTCAGACCCAAAGCTACGCACATTCTGCACACAGTATTTGCACCGAAGGAAAGGATATATATATATATATATATATATATATATATATATATATATATATATATATGTATGAGTTTTACGCGTTCGCGTAGTAGACCTTTCAGTTTGCCGCAAATGAGGCTGATGCCTGACACACCGCTGATGCCGACTCCCAGCCGAGAAAGGTAACGGGAACAGGTGCCCTAGTCAGTTAACACGAGCATGGCCGCCCCGCACCTCGGGGCTCACGCATGGCGGCCCTAGCCCAGGTGCCGATCACGGCCGCGAACCTTATCGAGAATAGGAGGAGATCCTCTAGGTCACAGTGGTGAGGACAGTTCGAACATTAATGACATACAGCTCAGAAAGTCCTCTAGTTTACAGTGGCAACGACAGTTCGAGCAATAATAACATATAGGTCAGAGGGTCCTCCAGTTCACAGTGGCAACGACAGTTCGGGTAGTAACAACATACAGATCAGAGGGTCCTCTAATTAACAGTGGCGACAGTTCGAGTAGTAATAACATACAGGTTGGAGAGTTCTCTAGTTCAGAGACGCAACGCCAGTTCGAGTAGAAATGACATACAGGTCAGAGGGTCCTCTAGTTCACAGTGGCAACGACAGTTCTGGTGGTAATAACATACAGGTTAGAGAGCCCTCTAGTTCAGAGACGCAACGCCAGTTCGAGTAGTAATGACATACAGGTCAGAGGGTCCTCTTGTTTACAGACGCAATGCCAATTCGAGTAGTAATGACATGCAGGTCGGAGGGTCCAACGCCAACATGAGGAAAAATATCTGCAATTGCCAAGGGGTAATCGGGCAGAATGCCAGCCGAAGGCCAATTCCTGTACCTGGCAGCTGCCACTGTATAAATTATGGGATAGCGTGTTTCTCACAGGCTGTCCACAACTGCCTACAACGTTGGTGGTCTATTTACTTATCTCGCGGTCGAATATTCCAAACCTGACGTGACTCACGCGGCCAGCTCTCCATCCCTGGCCATCGCTTGGCTGGTAGGTACAGTAGCCCGCACTCACCTATGACGTAGGTGGACGGGTCGAACTCCCGTTCGGGGGGAGGACTGGCCTGCGTCGGTAGCAGCCAGGAGATGACGGCTGACTTCTCGCAGTACTGGTCTTGCATGAGGCCGCGGATCTGGGCGTAGTAGGTCTCACCCTCCAGCGAGACCAGTGACACGATGTCCCCCACCTGGTAGTAGATGCCCTACGGAACAAGACGGACGATAACGCGGAGGGAAATGACACCAGCGGCGCGCTACCGTAGTGCATACCCTACGGGCAAAGACGGAAATGAAGTCAATGAGACGACCGCGATCAACAGCACAGCTCTCACCTAGCAGCAGATACACATCAGAAACGAAAATCTCCGGCCACAAGAAGCCAGTTGAGATACTCACCACTTTGTTCACAAGGGTTCGAATGCTCGAGCACATGCCAAGTATGTTGTGAGCTACTGTGATAAACACTTCACGCAAAGATAACACCTTATATGAAAATTTAGCTTACAATTGTATGATCACAACTATTCCGCCAAACAAACACGCTATTGAGAGCGTCATGCCATAACTAGAGAGCGCCCCAGATTAACACAGCAGCGTCTCACACAAAATAATCCACTATAGGGCACTATAAAAAGGAGACCACGCCTCACACAATCAATTATCCGGGGGCGCCGTAACCGGGGCACCGGACTGGCGCGATTACCGGGGGTTGGTTACGGCGTCTTGTCACGTGCACATCTGCCTAGACGAGGCCACCGCTTTCATTTCATTATTTTTTTTTTTCACGAGACTGGTTGGACAAAGAAAGTGAAAAGGAGGATCGGTACAGAAGTAGGCACATTAATCAAAGAGCTTATCCAGAGGAAAAGGGAACTAGAAGGGGAAGCGGACGATTTTCCAGATTTTCAAGAGGGATAGGACTTGCTCACCCCTCCCGCAGTACGTCGGGCAAAACGCATCGTCAGGTCCCGGCACCGCGCCGCCAGCAGACGTTAATTGGTGTAAAGACGGTGTGGACAGAACGATTGATGGTCATCTTAAGCCATCTGAAGCCGGTTGAAGACCGCACAAACCCAAGAGAACATGTCTTAGTTGTTTTGGTATCATTTATTCGAGGGATGAAAGAGTCGTATTCCACTGATCACCTCACAACTCCGTTCTAAGTCGAGGACGTGGAAAAAAACGGGCAAAAAACATAAAGCATTTCGTGTGTTCACCGGGATGTGTTCACGGGCAGAAGTTCAGAGAGGCTGCAGGATGCTGACTCATGAATTGGCAGGCGCTCCGTATGAACACTCGTGCGCCATCTGGTGCCGAGGTTTCCCAATTTACAGCCCGCTAACAGGCTGGCGGTGGAGGAAGCTCCGAGCCGTTATCAAATCATACGGAAAAAGGAGGAACAGAATTAGCCATTCCAATATCTATCGGGAAGGTCATTCCATCGTTCCGCAGCATGATAGCGTCAGGCACGCATGATCGCTAGAGCGGTCCCGTCGCGATTACGAGGCATGCAGAATGCGGTTGCGTTGCAAAAAAGTAAAGTCGTTACGTTCGAAGCTGCCACCCTCGTGTCAAAAAGTAAAGTCGTCATGTTCCCGCTACCTACTCCCGTGTCACCAGTCCCGCTAACTGGTTTCGTAACGTCTTTGGTCCGCTCGTGTCCACCACGGTTATGTAACTGCCGTCTTCTATGTCGTAAGAGCCAACTGTGATATCATGTAGATGGCAGAAGTTTCGTTGTTTAGAACGTGTCTAGGCGGTAGGTCGCTAATAGGGCACGTTGGCACAAGAAGAGCGCTGACAGGTCTAAAGGAAGCACCAGACCTTTTTGAACTTCTCAGTTATTGTTGCACCTGACGCGAACGATTTGATCAGTAATATGGGTTTTCTCAAAATCCACCTGAAAGGTCAGAATTTTGATTTCATGCGGGCGACTCTTCGGGACAAATGTCCTTTGACCCCCCGCTCACCACTATGAGAGCAGCACATTTCATTTCCCTTGCTTTTCCAACGTGTGTTGACATCCTCATTATCTCTTGACCGTGAAGTGGCACATCCTCGTGCTATTGTTGGGCGTAACGAGTCCTGAAGTTTCAGTGGGGTATGTTTTTGAGAGACGCCCCAAAAGTGGGACACTTCCTTTTAAGACGCTCTTAACACGGTCGTTTAAGTTCAGGGGGTCAAATGGGTGAGTCTAAGAAGTTTGCAGTTATGAGAAATTGGATGCTTTGTCTAAATATCAGGAAAGGGGATTGCTTGTAGTTGATCAGCGCATTGTGAGCACACCGCACGGAACCCGTGAAGGTATACCGAACCGTTTTCAACGCGTTAAAAGAGGTGACCCAGCCGATGCCACATTGTTTTATGGTATCGTGGCCATTCTAGAGTCACAACTTACGTGTTGTGCGCAGATGTCAGGCGCAGAAAACGCATCGTTAGAGATCGAGTACCTAAAGAATTATACAGAATGGACATTGGGGACAGAATGCAATGTTTTCAGATTAAGTTTCCTGGCTACCGTCCTAACGTCTTGTTTTCTGCCAGGAAGTTAGATTGCAGTCAAAAGAAATCGAATCGGACATGCCACGCTGGTTTGCATGCTTCAAACAAAGACATTCGCGCCAGCTGATATCCTTTTGTGAACTAGCGAGGCATGCCGCTTTTGTTTAGCGCAGCTGGTCAGCACGCACACAAATCAGCTTAACTGGAAGACCAGCTTTGACACACAAATTGAATTTCTGGCACGCGCGCATGATCCCACACATCAACTTCCAATGAGCCGTCTCGAGCACGGTCGCGCGTGCCTGGGACACGGCATGCTCTGAGGATACAATTCAGCCACGGAGCATTACCTTGTGGAACAAACAGTTCGACGTCACCGGCGTGGCCACAGCCAGTGGCGCCCGGACAGCCTGCAACGAAAAGCCAGAATTAGTGACGTCACACCAGCGCAGCCAGTCGGCGAGCGTATATTGGTTTCTGGCGTCACACCAGCACAGCCAGTCGGCGAGCGTATATTTATTTCTGACGTCACACCAGTCGGCGAGTGTGTGTTTGTTTCTAAGTCGCTTGAGACTTTTTACCTCGAGAATTCCACGGGTCCCTGGTGGCACCGCGCTGTTTTAGAAATTTCCCTGCATTTGCTGAGGTCTCGGCGAACAGGACGAGCTGTGGTACTCAAATTTTGGTTTCGGTGGCACGTTCAAGGCGATGGTAGGTGCAACGACTGTCGGATTGCACATGCATTCTGCTCCTTGTTCCGGCTCCAGAAACCGACCTCTATCCACCACGCTGAATACGATATGTATTTGCCACGAAATATGTGGCTACCCTGTACCGCCTCGTAGCCGATGGAAGGGTGGCTGCGGAATGTGGAGCCCCTGAGCAAATGGTACAGTACCTGCCTCGCAGGCGCGCAGCCAGGTCTTGGAAGGGGGAGGCAGGGATGAGAAAGGGTCCCCTGATAGTGAAGGTCCTCCAAAATCGCCGGATATGGCCAATCTCTTAATGAGGGTATGCCTTTCTTTGTTTTTTTCCTTTTTCCGTCATTGACTGGAGACGAAGGTAGAAGCTAACGCCACATAAATGTTGCCTGAGCCTTGTAAGTCAATAAAGGGAAGAAATCATGCCTCAAACGATTGCATGAAATAAATCGTAGGCGCCCTCGATCTTACAAAGGTCCAGTGGACTCCTTCTATGCCAAAAGAACTCAAAGCCTTCGTCAGTATTTTTATCTGGGTTCTACACTCGTATGAGGCAGCCCGCGAATGCGGATTGCAGGCAGAAAAGGGCCAACAGTTTGTACCAATATGGGTAAGCCATGTTTGTCTGAAAATGTTCAGCATTCAGTCCAAATCGATTAGTGATGCAAATTATGCAACGTAATTTCAATTACGTAAATCAACCGGGCATAAATTCTCCCTAGCGATTTTAAACTGCTTGTGCGGACGAATTACGTCTTCACAGCACCGCGAAGGGTGCAGGAACCTGGCGGTGGAACTAGAAATGTTAAGGTAGAATCTCTATTTTTCGTGCTGCCGTTACTGCTTATTTGTCCAGAGGACAACCTTCAAAGCTGAAAAAAGAACCATCCAGTCTAATCTTTGAACGGCATGGATTCTGTTTGGTAGACATCAGGAATAATCGTTTAACGACGGTCGCTTTCGCGCGCACGGCGTCCACCGCCTGGTGCTACTTGCAGTTGCCAATGCCGTTACGTTTCACGGAAAGTGCAATCCAGACCATCGTTGTCCTTGCTTCTGAGATTTCAGGCGCGCAAGCTGAGATGTTTCGATGTAATTTGTTTCAGCAATCGATTCTGCAGAATAAAGAGTTATCTGATAGACATAGAAAGGCCGTGTTCATTTTTGAACTCATTTCGATCCAGTCAATTCAACACTAATTGGCTTTCCTATTTCTTTCCGGGCAAGGGTCCCCTTGAGTAGAACACTGGGGGCAAATGTTGCTCCCGGTCAAGGGCTGAAGGCCATTTCGTCCTACCGCGGGGTGCCTTCCGCCTGCCATTCTGGCCACACGGGGCGGTATCTCCTGGTCGATCCGGACGACCTTAGAGGGATACTTCATATCACATCGATCCCCACCCTGACGCGGGAAGCCTGACCCGCGTAGTTGGCCCTGTATCGACGCGGAAACCCCTGTTGACGCAATAACATCCCTGATCGCCGCAGGTGGTCCAATAATTGGACCAAATACTTCAGTTCGGCTTAACGGACCCATGGTGGAATTGTGTTGGAGGCTCCAACGATCGGTACTGGAACTGGCGGAGGACCCTTCCACTGTCCTAATGTGAACACTCATTTTAAGACCGCATGTTTCCTTACATTGTTAGAGGCTCCCAACCAGCGCAAGAGGTCCTCTGTCACGGGTTCCCGTCCCCGTCCCTGTTGTTGTTGTTGGGCAAAGTTGGCCAATGTTGGGCAAATGTTCTTCTGAATGACTCGAGGCTCCTTGTTGACATAGAACACCCTGTTGTGCACTGGGCCCCTGACCGATACAGGGGCCTCGTACTGCTGTTGGGGCCCGGATCAAAGCAAATAGCGGGCCCGGTCATGTCTCTGCTTGGGAAATGGATGGGCCCCGAAAAACTCAAATCGGCACGGAGCCGACTGTTCGGTGTCTGTGATCTCCGGCCGAAAGCAAGAACGCTCTGTCTCAGGGGTCCCCAATTGGTGCAAGAGGTCCTTTTACTGGCATTTGAGATCCCAGCCCTACGGGCGAGTGTGCTTAATGTGACCTACAGCCAGCCCTTCGGGCCCTTCGGCCTTCCAATCGGCCCCTGAATATTTTGTCCTAAGGGACCATTCGGGTCCTCGTCAGGCCCCCTAAACACCGCCACAGGCCGACTCGGGGCCGCTTGCCGTCACAGGGTCCCAGTTAGGCACTGTGGCCCTAGCAGACACATGAGCTCCTCATGGTGTCAGCGAGCCCAAACATTGCACATCGCGGGCCCGGGACTCGTTCCCGCTTGGGAACTGGATCCCAAGGGCACAAACGGACATGGAGCCGACCATTTGGCCTCGTGTCGAGGCCCTATATCATAGGGATAGAGAACTTTTGTCATGTCATGTCATGTATTTACTACGAATCGTTCCATATGTATGGCTTAATGCTTGATCCGAGTCGATTACACCCGATCGATCGGAGGGCTACAAGTAACACGATACAAACGAAGACGCAGCGATGATAAAAACACGTCAAGCGCTTGAGAACGGACTACAGAGCCGAACAAAACACTCTTTTTCACATTTGTCAAGTAGATATGAGCGCAGCACGGCTCTGGGAGGGGATAACGGTCGGTGGTAGGTGGTTCCAGGACGAGGTCAAACGATGAGAACGCACCCTACGCGACATAGATTCCCGAAAGGCAGGCAGCTCCGAAGCGCCGGCCACCGCCGACCTCGTGCTGCGCTCACTAACAGCAATCCGAGGGGCGAACAGCGACCGGACCGCCACCGGGGCACGGAGGTCATGTAGGGCCCTGGAAACGCTACCGTGGTCGCGACGCGTAACAAGGTCATAAATTTCGCACCAGCCCATCGACCTTATGACCGGTGAAACATGATCCCGACCCTCCGCCCGCGAGACGAGATATGGCCACGACATTCGCAACTTTGTGCACGCGGCCGAGATAGCAGGCGGCAGCCCGGTCCCTGATTGAGCGGTAGCACAGGATGTGGGGGAAAATATTGGTTCGGATACCGGGTCTGCGAGCTTCAGGCGTGCAAAGATGAATTTTGTATAAAAAACAGAATGGAGTTGCGCTTGTAACTAATTTGGATACGTGCTGAAGAAAACCCTGAGAAAAACGCCCAGACGATCCTGTCTGCGAAACTCGCGACTTTTGCACCCGGTCGAGATAGTAGGCGGTGGCCGGGCGGCCCTGACTGGACACTGGCAAGAGTCCTAATAGAAGCCCTCGAAATGATATTTCAGGTCACGGCACTACGCGTCGGGAGTCGGGCCCGATTCCAATCGGGTCCTTGATTTCAGGGCCCGGGAGGCCCTTCGAGCCCCTGGAAGTGACCCGGTTTCGTGGCGACTCGGGTCACTTGCCAAAACAGGACCCCCTGTCAAGTACTGAATGCTCCTGACCGACTCCCTCATGCTTTCAATGAAATGCAATTCGCGGGATCAGCCTTGCTCGTGCCTGGGAAATGGGTCCCCTACATTCAGACCGACACGTAGCCGGCTGTTCGGTGTTGGTGGTCTCTGGCCGAAATAGGGAACCGCACCTGCAGGAGTTCCCAACCGATGCAAGAGGCTCTCCGATCAACATTTGAGGTCACGGCCTTACGGGTGTGTGGGGGGGGGGGATCCTTAATGTGACCTACGGCCAGGGCTTGGGGCCCGCTGCCTCCAATCACGAAGACAACAAGCCTTCAAATCGAATTATCGATCTTTGGTTCCGAGGGGTCCTTAGGCCCCTCCTCGGACCTCCTCAAAGCCCGTGACCGACTCGGGGTAACACATGACCCAATGCTAGGCACTGTGGGCCCCTGACCGACACAGGGGTCCAATCGTTTTTTCAGGGACCCGGATCAATGCAAATCAATGGATCAGGATCAGGATCAATGTAAATCGTGGCCCCGGCCTAGCTCCTCCTTGACAAATGGACCACCTGGCCACCTGGATTCAGATTCAGATTCAGATTCAGATTCAGATTCAGATTCAGAAATGGGCCACCTGGATTCAGACTGACAGGGAGCTGACTGTTCGCCAATCGTGATCTCTGAGCGACTGACACACTCGCATTGCCTTCAGGGGTTCTCAAACGGTGCCAGGAAACCTCTGACGGATATTTTGGGGCGCGGCCCTATGGGCTACAATTCTTTATGCAATCGGTAGCCGGTCGTTCGGGTCACTATGCCCTCCAACCGAGCCCTTGATCGTCGGTTCCGGTGGGCCACCTGACCGCTCGGCAGGCCTCACTGAACATTGCCCTTGGTCGGCTTGGGGCTCCTTGTGAACACAGGACCCTCTGTTAGGCACTGTGAACCCCTTACATGCACAGCAGCCCAACCTGTGTAAGTCGCTGGCCTCGGCTTTGTAGCTGATTACGAAGTGGGATCCCAGGCCCCTGCCAAGGTGCCGACCGTGCGGTGCTGGTGGTGCTTGACCGACGTATAGCCTCATATCAACTCAGGAGGTCCGCGATCGGTGCCAAACGCGCTTTGTCATTTGAGGGCCCATCCCAGCAGGCCGGGTGTCCTCAAGCCCTCCTGTAGGGCCCTTGATCGTCGGTCCCGGTGCGCCCCTGCCTCTGGCCGACTCGGGGCTCCCATGCCAACACAGGGGGGGGGGGGGAGCTTTCAGGCGTTGTGGGTCCCTGGCAGACGCCGGGGCCCGGACCAATGTAAACCACTGGCTCCTGCTTTGTCCCTGCTTGGAGAAT